GGGGAGAAAAGAAAGAGAAAAAAGTAGGTTGTACTTACTATCACACCATCAACTGGTGGTTTTGTTCGAAAACTTGGAGGAACCATTTCAGGTGTGAGAGATGGTGGAGGATCTATGCCCTGCAGTTTCTGATTTATCAGCCACATAGATAAGGCAAACTGCTCACTGTTCAGCTTGCCACTCTGCTTTATGTCACACAATGTCCTGCAATTTGTAACATTTTATTACTGTTTAACATGGAATACTTCCATTCATCCACATTTATATCTTCATACAACCAATTACATGTAATTCAATTCAATCCCAAACAAACTGGGGTTCCTAATAACAATTTGAATGCCCTAGAAAAAAATATTTAACGTTATTCAGGACACCATAAAAAATTAGTATCAGTAAGTGTTACAGAGTCTGTTATGCTGCGAAATGTGTTCAACCTCTCATGGCTGACATGCTCAGTATGTCAGTAACACCACTAACTTTGGTGTCTAAGTGATTAAACTGTGCGTATTTAGTATTGTGACATGTCTAACTGTTGCTGGGCAAAGGGAGGTGGAACAAGTTACCACGAAGACAGACCCTAGATAAACAGTCAGTTCCCAGGTTAAGCAACAGTAAGGAAAGCGGTGTTTCTCCATGCCATGCCGAGTAGAGCCGGAGCACGCTGGTTGCTAAGCAGCAATAAACAACACCTGTAAACACAGCGATTACGCAACAGGGAAGCGAGGCGCGTTTTCCGTTGTCTGGCTGAGGGTTTATAAGAGAACTGCACTGCCTAAGGAGTCAGTTGAATTGTAGCGGTCGCCGAGTTCAGTTATAGAGAGTGAATTGTGAACGTGAAGAATACCGGAACATGTGATTAGAGGTGATAGTGTGAGAAATTATTGGGAGTGTGTAATACAGTGACACTGGTATAGCTCCCATATCGTACGGTGAATAAGTGAAGACCACTGAAGAGAGAGTGAACAGATTATTGTGTAGGGTGTATAAATTGTGTAAACCCACAACTGTGTTGTAATTAATTGTAGTTATGATTTGCAGGTTGTTAAATAAACCAATTAACAATCAGAACGACATCTTCAGTGGCAAAACACGTTACAGTATGTTCTGAGAAAAGAAAACCTTAACTTTCTATTCCATTTATTATAATTACTAAATATGGTATGGTACATTAAATATCCACCCTTATTTGGGAGACATAGTTTCCCATGTTGCTGTTATGTGCTCTGCAATGAATGCTTTTTTCTGTCTTTTACAGTTAAATGGAACCAAGGTAATATACATGACAACTGCAGTCAATCCTTCTTGTAATTTGGCCAATGCAAACAAACAAGTTTGGGAGATTTTGTAAAGCTATGTATGTCACAAGGGTCTGATTTGTGGTGCAATTACAGAAACATTTATAACTGATTAACAACTGTTACATTTTCACAGATCTGGAGTAATTTCTTAATTCATCCCAAAAAGTTATGGAATTTCTTCATGAATGCTTGCTTACATATTCTGAATGCCAAGTTATATCAAAGACCCTACTAACCATTTGTCAAATCCAGATCATGGGAGCTGCATCGGGAACGATACAAATCAGCTGTACTGTCAAAGTAACAACTTCAATAATTAACAACAATGTTTATTAGATTTGGATAGTGACAGCATATATTCTGTGAACATTATGTGTTAATAATCTCATTAAAGAATGGTGATGATAATAAACAGGCAGAGTGGTTTTAACAGCAGAGGGTGCAGCAGAGCAGACAAGCAAGATTTTGAAAATTGTTGAACTGTCTTCATAATAATGAATTTTCTGAAGATACTGTCATGTGTTTGTGACCAGACATGAGGTTCGGATTGCTAAATGGATTTATTGGACACTTATAACTGCACTTACAAAACTATCACCAGTCTACATACTTAACAATCATTACAAGTACGGTAAAGGTAAAGTAGCCTCTGTGCTTAACTAATTAAGGACTATGCCACGAAGACATATGGGGGAGTGGATGTATAGACCAACATATTCTTGAGCTTGGCAATAATTGGAGGCAAGTGGTTAGCTTCAGGCCCCAGCCACTTAAACCCTGGAGAAAGAGCCCCTGGTACCCACTGCAAAGGAAGTTGGTTTGGCCCCACAACTGGTCCAGATGATGTGGAGGGGAGAAAAATCTTGCACCTATACCAGGACTCAAACTCCGACCCCTCAGCCATCCAGCCAATGGCCAGTGGGTATACTGACTGTGCCATCCTGGCTATCACTACAGCAAATGCTAAGTCTCTTTCTGGCTTCACTTGTCACTGCCTGGTAATGGCTCCCAACAATGTTGAGTCCTCAGCTTCCATACTCAAGTCCTTCCTGGCTGGTAACTGTCTCACACCTCCTCATGGAAGCAACCAATGTATCAATGGCTCTCGCCATATAGCCTTGCATCAGACAGCATAGAAAACACAGTTTCCATGGCTTCTGTATTGCTATTGCGGGCAGTTGCCTAGTGATGGCTAACTTGTTTATCAAGCCATTACCATGCAATGACAATTTTTAAGTAATCATGTCATAATAACTGAGGCTTTTTTGCAGAACTATAAACAACACAGCACAGGGAGGGAATGTTCAAACCCAAATTCATCATTATAGCCTTGGAAATCAGTGATATGGAATTAAATCTGAGTTGTGCCTAGGGTGTCTACATGTCACTGGAGATACTGGCTCCTATTCAGAGTACTTTAAGTACTCCTAGAACAACCTAAGTAACTATGATGATGAGCATCCTCATATTCTTACATATATTATAGGGGTTCCTAAAAATTAACGAAATTTGGCTGAAACTGTAGAAGTTTCATTTGGAAATAGGGGTTCTAAATCTCCCAGTACTATGGAAGTTACAAGCTACAGTCAGCCCCATCTACAGGTCTTGTGGCCAGCCAGATAAGCGGGGCGGAGACCGGTCTCAGGTGATTTAATAGCTGTGTTGTCCAGTGATCCGAGGTTAGCTTGTTCTATGGGACCCAACTAAGCAGGTGTCTTCCGTCCCTCACCCGAGGACAGTAACAGATCCAGTTTCAAAACGTTGGTCGTTCTAGTCTCTAGAATACCGGATGGAAAGAGCCCCCCCCCAAAAAAAACAGTAATTCTAAGTGCTTTATACCACTGTCAGAACCCTTTGGAATCTATACAGATTCTGGTTCAACAGATCAATGAGAAGTGTATCAGAGATAGTGCTCAGTCTGGACCTACAAGGTCAGTAGACTGGAAAAAGTTGTCAAATGGCTTTTAGGGCTGCAGAGTACACCAAAACTCTTGGAAATTGGTGATGCCAAGCGGTCGCCCATTCAAGTGCCTACCAAGCATAATGTTGCTTAGTCTCCTCTGCTGTGGGTCGAGCAGTGCTCAATGAAAATAATGAAAAGCAAGTTAGCCAAAGTCAACACTATCTGTGGAAGAGTTCATGTGATGCATGCAAAAGTTCATGCATGGCATTATGCAAACTAGGCTTAGTTGTGGATTAATACAGCTGAAAATCAGAATTGCCTCACGTTTGATGAAAGTCTCCCATACTGAATTTGAACTGTGCAATGGTTTATGGGATGCACAGAAAATTATATTTATTACCTTATGCAAATGAGGCTTTATTATAATTCAATATGACAGAATCAGAACTACCCAATAACTTTTGGAGGAAGTCTTCTATACTGAATTTCAAAAATATATGTACAACAGCGTGTGGAATACATGTCCATTTATGGTCNCAAAATACGGAAATTCCCGTCATTTTTTGAACACACCTCGTATACAGGATGATTCATGAAGTTTTACCTCCACTTAGGGAGGGCATTCCTGAGGTAATTTGGAACAAAAAATGTTAATGTACTAATGGTATCCAACTCATAATTAAAGAGATACAGTAATTTGAAAACTGGCGAAAAATCTTTTCTTCTTCGAATTTCAGTCAAAACAAATTAGAAATACAATACAAACACTTTTTAAATCGTTAATGTTTTAGGAAAGAAGCATTCTAAAACCACATTTTTTTTTCTTCAATTTCATAATTTTGCATTGTGCAACAATTTTCATCGATTTTATGTTACAAAATTACATTATTTTCAGCATCCCATTCTGTAAACATACCAATGGTTGCATATCACACCCTTCTATCAATCTGTTTCCTTTAAACTGTAGTGCTTTAGAAGGCGACTGGATTTACATAAGATTTTCAAAAATTTCTCCCTGCACGTCAACACAATACGTCGTATGCGTATGAACCATGCTTGTAGCATTTCGCAGTTCCACTCGTTTGTTCCTTATTGTCATTGCCGAGTCCAGAATACGTTCAAGCAACGCTTCACGTGTTTGTACCTGGTACACAACGTCCTTCATGCAGCCCCAAATGCAATAAAATGAACGGCCCGATTAGCTGATCATACAGAACACCACACCAGACATTGACACTGAATCGATGCTGAAAATTTGATTCTATCATGCCACAGGGAGTATTGTCTGCCCAAACTAGTAAGTTGTGACTGTTGTTGACCCCATCCCGCGTAAACTGTGCCTCAAGGATGCAGCCCGTTCTCATGAAGAGTCCTCCATGCCATGGACTGAGAAACACCGAACCGCCGAGCTAGACATCTTGTATGGGCACGCGGACTGCGCTCTACAGCATCAAGAATGTTTTCTTCTTCGCACAATTCATGTTGAGGATTTCGGTTGTATTGTATACGAACGCTGGGGAGAGAACCAGTTTATCTTAATGTGTTGAATGTACTGCTAATGGATTTAGGATTCGGAATCCTGCAATTAGGATAACGCCGGTCATATTCGGCAGCAGCGGCTCTCGCACTTCCATCACATACACCCAAAACAAACACCACATCGGCGTATTCCTCAGTGGAAAATGTGTACAGCATCTCAACTTCACAGTCACCAACACAACATTCTATTTACGACTGGAACACTCTGCCTACCTACGTGCAATATTTCAGCTGGTCTGCGTCATCTGCTGACACAGCTGATGGAACGCATAGCACTGCATTCATAATGATGCGTTTCGAAAATCCATTGAAATCGACCACAAGTTTATAAGGAAATTTTGCAGGAAATAACTCCAGGAATATGTATCATAAGCTGGGGTAAAACTTCGTGAATCACCCTGTATACAAGATCTTATTATGGACAAATATGGCTGGAAATTGGAACTGCATCACAACTTTTGCCTGAAGTCTTGCATACTGGAATTTTAAAAAAACCTGCCCAACAGTTTAGGCGCTGATACTACATCAGAGATGAACATATGGACAGACATTACTTCTACATTCAAATATCAGCACTTCTATTTTCCATTCCTAAAGGATTTTCCTTGTAGGGAAGTTTTGGGAATCACTTTACAACTGATTCCCTCAGAAATTCTAAAGGTTCCAATGTGAACACAATTTTCAAGTACCTGCAAGGTTCCAAGGAAATTTATAACTTACAATATTGTAAACAAAACTCACCATATATGTGCTAACACTGCTTGAGGGACACCTGATCGAAGGAAGACATCTTTAATTTCAAGGCCAGACACATAGCCATCTTTATCAATATCAGTTTGTTGGAATAAGACATCATATTTTGTCTTATCTTCAGCAGTTACTATCCATGGAGCTACAGGAAGGGGAGGAATTGCTGGCTGCAGAGAAACAAAATTTATACCATAAATAAATGTTAGTAATTTGCTATGTATACATCTACTAAACAAAATATAAGATGTCCATGATTTATTCTGACCGTCCTACAGTGCATACATTTATTCACCTTACTCTTCTCTCTTGCACTACATGTTTCGGCACTAAAGTGCCATCTTCAGGTGCTTTTCGATGTACGTCGAACTATTGCATTGCATGCCCTGTTGTCTTTATACTGCCAGCAGGCCCAGCAGTATAACACACGCAGTCACAGGAGTAAGACACAACACAAAGCACAATACACATGAAAGTAGGAAGAATACTCCAACAGAAGAAGATAGGTGTGACTCGCGTACCGAAATACGACATAAGGATGACAAATCCTGAACAGTTTTAACATTTTTAATATTTAAAATTTAGCAATATATATGACGAATATATATTTTAGTTATTTTAGTATAAAGACAACAGGGCATGCAATGCAGTAGTTCGACGTACATCGAAAAGCACCTGAAGATGGCACTTTAGTGCCGAAACATGTAGTGCAAGAGAGAAGAGTAAGGTGAATAAATGTATGCACTGTAAGACAGAATAAATCATGGACATAAACCAGTTCAACAGGACGCTAAAATATAACATTAAAAATATAAGATACTACTACTAAGATTTGCTTACTTTTACCAAAATTTTGAGTCTACAATCAATGAGGAAAGTTATAAATGTAACAAAAGATTGTGCAACATAATAACAATGGTTTCTCATGTGTTTGCTTCATTACAGTGTTTGAGGTAATAACCTTGTGTCTGTAAGTCAGCTTTGCCGCCTCTAAAGCATGTTTCAGTAAGAAGTAAAAACTATCAAATACTTCAAAATGTAGTGCTACTAAAATCTGAAGAAATATTTCTTAACACTGGCAATGTCCTGCACTCTATATGACATTATAAAAGGTTAAATTCCATCCAGTGTGACTGATGGAGTTTTTTTCTCCATTTTAATAGTTTATCCTTAATATGTTTCAGTCTTATAGACCATCTTCAGAAGGATATCAATACAATTAGAAATCAGTATTACAATATGTTTTCTAAATATTAATATATACATACAATGTTATCATAATACAATGAGTACAATATATGGTGTTTTTAACAATTACAGCAGCTTGTACTAATATGTTAAAATATTTATAAATTACAATTAGTAGGTTTAAAAAGATTTTGTTAAAATTTTTAAACCAAATTGGTTCGTGTCCTTTTTATTTCGTTTCTTTGAAGGAAGCCAAGCGTCACACTGGACGGAAATAATTAACATTTTATAAAACTGTTAGTGTGACGGACCACCTTCATCTCTGTCTGCAAAAAAAAAAAAAAAAAAAAATAAAGCTATCCCTGTACCGGGCCGTGAAGGCCCACAGGGTTGTGAGACGTTGATGGTCCCACACTATCTAGACCAGGCATGTCAAACTCAACGTGTACAGAGGGCCACCTCAGCCCTATAAATAATAGACAAGGGCCGCACTTCAAAATAAAAATATACATTACATTTTGATACAAGGAAATTTAATTCTATTTATTATTTAGGAATAATTTCAATATAATTACCTAAAGTGGAACACTTATATTTTGCCCACAAACCAAACATGTAATTTTACCTTCTATTTCACAACAGAAATAAGCGATTTCCCATTTCTCTTGAAAAACACGGCGCTCACTTTCAATAGTTCTTTTTTTGCTACTTGAATTTTTTGAAAGCGACATTGCCCTTTAAAAGTTACTGTACATATATACAAAAAAACTCATAGTTGATAATTTAATGTTTAATTATAACCTTTATACGTTCATCACAATGTAACATCAGCACCTGTCGCTGTGTGAAAATGAACTGAATGACAATGTACAAGAGATACCGGACTAGTAGGAAGGTGTACCTTGTCTCAATGGTCATAAAAGTGAAAGTTTGCTAGCAGCCCATTAAACAGTGACTGGGGGCTGCAAGCTAGTTTTGAAGGTAGAAATCCCTTGTACTTGTCTGTCAGTTTCCACCCTCCTTGCATTCTTACTATGTCTCCAAAAGGGATTCTTGGAAATAATTGGGGTGGTGAGGCTGGGCGGATTTTAGTGCATTAACTTTCTGAAATACAATAGTTTGTCCTTCACGAACTACAGAAACTGTTAGTTGGACAAACCCTTCTGCAATTCTCAGAATCACTTTTCCTGCAGCCTGCTACTTTATGTCTGCGTGAGACTTCTTGTCTTCTGGTCTGTTGGAAAATTGTATTTACAAAAAATATTTCTACTAAAATTTTAATATCAATTAGCTCTAAAAGTTGAGGGGCCGCACTTTGTGGCTATGGGGGCCGCATGTTTGAAACGGCTGATCTAGACAATCGGCTCAAGGATGGCAGTAAGGTTGTCAGCCTTACGTGCCAGCCACACTTTACTCCCCAGAAAAATTATTTAATTAATTCCTGGTACTCATTTCTGTTAGAGGCTGAGTAAACCCCAGGGCTGGAAGGATTAGGTCAACTGAAAAAAATCTAATGACCTCACTGGGACTTGAACCCGTCACCTTCCGGCTTGTAGCATAGCTCCTCAACCACTACGCTACCTCATACCCCCATCTCTGTCTGTGATTCATTAACACTTTTGACCCTATGACTAATGATTACTGCTCCTTGGTCCAGACTGTCATATCTGATCAATGCTGGACAACAACATGCCACAGCAGACAAAATCTCTCTCTCAGAATGTTCTTTGAACAAGCAGATCTTTCTTCTGTTGCTAGATGGTGCATGTACCTTAAGAAATTCCTTGTATGTATATAAACCATTTGTTATTCATTTATTTTCAGTGAAATACTGCAAACAAGTTGTACTGAAAATAATGGTTGCACTGGGAGGTTAGCCAGTACCAGAGATGGTGGGAGTTAAAGTGTTAACAACCCATCCATTCTCCCCCTCCCACATATACACATGTAATAGCCACACTCATTACAAATGGATTACGATGAAATTCTATAATGGTAATGATCAATGAAATGTGAATTAAAAGTAATATTTAGGTACCATATTACACACAAGGTCTAAAGCCTCACATCTGCTTGAAGATACTGAGTAAAAGCAAAAATCTCAGTCAAGATAGTAAGAAGCCAGATCAAGTCCACACCAAGTATCTCCTAAATGGAGTCCTACTGAGAGAAGTACTTTCTGTCCAATTTCATAAAAATGCTAATATTTTAAATAAACAGAAAAATCCCTTTGCTGGAATATAATGGAGATGGTACTCTCACCTTTGTGCCATCAATCCCCATAACAAGATTTGGTAGTACAGGAACTGCTCCCGGTAATGTTGCTGCTTGTACAGAATCTTTTCTTTTTGAAGGAGGCATCAGTTCTGGAGGAAGCGTGTTTGGAATTGTGTATTTTTCCAAAGCCTTATATACAAGATGCATAGCCTACAAAGGAGCAGAACATATCTTGTTTTATACAGTAGTTTAATTGAAGTAGACCTGTATGATTAATGTTATTGTAAGATAATACATACCACCATGAATTCATGACGATCCAGCATCCCATCTTTATCCATGTCTGCCAGATCCCATATTTTACCAAGCGTATCTACTGGTAACTTTGAATCCATCAATACACCTTTCACCTGGAAATGTAATCTTCATTATATGCTCAGAATGTAAACAGCACAAAAATATAATATAAATAAACGTTTCACCACCAAGCTTTCTATGAAACCCTTAAACTGTTTTCACTGCTACATAACTGCAAATGTATTAAACAAAATTTTGTCACATTTTGTGGACACTTCTTGTAAAAGGCTATGAAGAACACATTTTTATTGGGATATTTTCTTAAATTAGGACACTGTTTCACACACAGTGCTAAGTAATATATAAAAGAAAATATCCTCCAGCCTCTCACAAAACCTATAGAGTATACTTTACATCATGTCATGCAACAAGATGACATGTAGTTACAATTCTTATGCGGAAGTGTAGAGTAATGTTTTCTCAACAGATGGCGAAGGTCACATGAGTCATGTGAGTGTCGTGCAGCATGCGCGCTGCAAGCAGAAGACATCAGCAACAATGGCTGAAAGGTTGTTCTTTGAGCAATGCAAGGCTGTATTGAAGTGGTACTGGAAGTACAAAAACATTAAAGAGGTACAAACGACAATGACAGAATGAGTTTGGAACTCAGCCACCAACACGTCAAACAATTGCCTGTATTCGGGATAAATTTGAAGCCGACAGTACTGTTCATGATGTGCATAAGCAAAGATCTGGGCGACCACGGATAGTAACAAGTCCAGCTTCCAGTACTGTGGTGTTGCAACACTTTACATGATCACCGCAAAAATCTGTGAATCAGTGTGAACACAAAAGTGGGGTAAGCCGATCAAGTGTATGGCGAATCGGTAATCGAGATGTGAGGGTGTACTTGGGTGACACTCTACCTGGACAATAGATAGGTCAAAGAGGTGCTATTGAGTACCCACCACGGTCTCCAGGCCTAACACCTCTCGACTTCTACCTATGGGGAACCTTGAAGGATGAAGTTTATCGACAAAAGCCAGCTACACTGAACGCACTACGAGAAACCATCGAAGTTTCGTGTGCAGCCATCACACCGGACACACTGACAGCCGTAGTTCACTCAGCAGTTAGGCGGCATCGACATTGTTTAGCCGCTGATGGTGGTCACTTCGAACACATACAATGACTCTCTCTCTCTCTCCACGCAAGAATTGTAACTACACGTCATTTTGTTCCAAAGATATTGACTATCAAAGAGTGAGTACATTTTTTGTTGGACCCCCCCCATATATATATATGTCTGTGAGAGATTAAGTTTCCCACATTTTCTAGACAATTGGCTCATAGATGGCAGTCAGGTTGTCAGCCTTACATGCAGGCCGCTCTTTAACCCCAGGATGATTCCTGGTACTCATTTCTGTTAGAGGCTGAGTCAACCCCAGGGTCATAGTGTGGCTGGAAGGATTAGGTCAATTGAAAAAAAGCCAATGACCTTATCGGGATTTGATCCCGCAACCTTCCATCTTGTAGCATAGTTCCTCAACCAACTACGTTACAGTGTGCCACTATAATAAATTAAAAAGATAATAAACAGCACTGGTCTGTAGCATTTGCAACCCAAAATAACAAAGTTATTTCCTCACAGCCTTGACTGCAAAACTGTGCAATATTACGCAATACAACACTGGGAGTTACAAATTCTGAGATTTTCAAAGGAAAGGTATTCCATATAAAATCATGAAATTTTGACAAAAGTCTGTGGCAGATGAAATTTTACTTGAATGGAACTTAGTATAATCAGAGGTTGGCATGATATAAGTAAAATTTCAAGTATTTTATCTTATAACTCAGTGGTTTTGGGGACAGAGAATGCCAGAGTTTGTAAAATGCTGGCTGTTCTCATATCAGTCACATAAGCACTAAATTACACAAAATCTGTACCTCCAAAACTAATGGAGGTATCTAAATAAAACTGCAATAATACAGAATTCACATCAGAAAGTACCTAATGACATATAAAATTTTGTTACAGCTTTGGGTTTTCAAAGTGTAAAGAAGTATACTTAATTTAGTAAGACTGTATCCTGCTTAATTTCGGAAGCTTATGATTATCCAACACACAAACTTACATCAAAAAGGTTTTAGTTTCTTATTTCCAACTACACACTATATTTTTTAAATGTAAGTGCTCATCGGATAATATTCACAAATCAGTCAAAAAATATCTACACAATAATTTGATACAAGTTCATTTTGCTGATATACTTCATATATTAAATTAAATCACCATCTAAGTATATCTACTTTATATTAGTATTTAATAATAAACAGGAAGTAAATCAGATATATTTATACAGTTGGTTTCTTATCACATTTTAATATATACTGTAAATTCAAGTTTTGTTAAAATATAAAAATGTCTAAAAAGTGGCAACAATAGTAAATTAGATAGGATGACTTAATTTTTCATGGGCATAAATACGTATAAAGCTGACAGTCCTGGACCCAATACAAACTTTCATTGTCATTCCTAAGTTATCAGACAGAGGACTTGACTTATCAGTTAGACAGAAGTTTACCTAGTTTTAACCTTATTATGTACCATAACTTAGGAACTTCACACTCCTGTGCTGTACATTCATTTTCAACACATACTCTTCCCTCTCAATCTAAGCCAGCCACAACTTCAAGTTTTAAGTTAATCTGAATATCTTGGATATCCTTTCTAGTATTTTCCTGTTACATCAGCAGCTAGGGTTTACTAATGTAGTACAGTCTCTCTCTTTGCGGTAAGGACATCTGTGCCGACACACTGTAATATGTGTCCTGGGACACTAATTAATATGGCAGAATATGTGTGTTTCAAAGCAAGGCCTGACATGCTGTAGTACATGTCCTTGAAGCTATGTAAGTACAATTGGAGTGTGACTACTAGGCCAACACATCAGTCATTACCTCAAAGGAAGTAATATGTTGGTTACACATCCAAATGAGTGTTCATGTACAATACCTATGTGAAAGCAATCCTGTAAGAAAAGTACAGAGATAATTCCAATGTATATTTCAGGATGTGCAGTTCTAAGATCGACAGACATTGTTGTTAGTTGATAAAAAGGAACCGAATCAAAATGCTATGTGCTCACTGATGAGAAACTGGACGAAATCAGTGCTAGGCTAGGACATTCTTCTCAAAAATCCCTCAGATGTCTTGCACAGGAGACTGGGGTTGCTCTTGAGAAACATCAGATCAGGTCTTTAAGGAACAGCTATTGAACACACCTTGTTCCCTGATATCATGCCATTATGAGGTTGCAAAGATTCAAACAACTGGTCATATTTTGCCTTCTCAGCTGGTTTCACAGCCCAATCACTTGACAGCAGAGAGTTGTTGATTGTTGGGGGAGATATAAGACTATTATGAACTGCTGTCACAAGGGGAACATCTCCCTGAAAAAGAAACACTTCAATATCAGATCTATAATAATGTCACAGAGTAAACAAACATTCATTGGTAAAAAAAAAAACACAGAATTCAAAAAGGAAGAATTTACAATAGCAGAAATATGAACTATGTTCTCAACCATTTGCCCATTACAACACATTTCAATTTAGCACAATTAAAAATGCTCCACCCACTCCGACCTAGCAATAATTAGCTGCAACGACATTTGGAGTTCAGATGTCCACTCTGAAAAAAACTAATCTTTAAGCACCACAAAGCTCTTGCATACATATTAAAGCCAGTACAAATGTTCCAACAATTCAAACCGTACCTCATTCAAAAGTTAATACTGCTCAGATTTCAAAGTGGTGGGTGTGCGTGTGTGAATTTTCTTAAACAGAATTATGAAAGCTGCAAAATCATGTAATTCTGGGTCTACTAACTTGCCTGTTCCTTCACTGGACACATGAAATACATAATAACATCAAACATAAAATATGAATACAAAATCGATGAAAAAATATTCATGGCAATAAAAGTGGTGGAAGCCAGAAAGTGGTTTTGGATGCAATCACAGCCCTGTCCTCAGCAAATGTGATCTTGATTCTTTTCCAAGAGTACTAATTAACTAATTTCATAGAGCTGAGCCCTTCTTGAGAAGCCACCAATTCTGCAGCTACTCAAGAACTTCACAGCATTTTATGGAACCCGAAGGTTCATTACCATGTTCACAACAGACATACACTGGTTTCTATCCTGAGCCAGATCAATCTAGATCATACCACCCCATTATATCTCTCTAAGATCCATTTTAATATTTCTACCCACCTACATCATGGTCTTCCTAGTGGTCCCTTTCCTTCTGGCTTTCCCACCAATATTCTACATGCATTCCTCTTAGCCCTCATTCATGCTACATGCCCTGCCAATCTCATCCTCCTTGACTTGATCATTCTAATTATAACTGGAGAAGAGTACAAGTTACGAAGCTACTCATTATGTAGTTTTCTCCAACCTCTGATTACTTCATCTCTCTTCGTTTTTTTCCAGTAGTACACAAATTAAAATAAAGTTATATGGAAACCAAGGATACTGATATCTGCAGTTGGTGAGAAATTGCTGTACTAAGAAACAAGGAATATCAATCTATTATGCATAACTTTGAACTCCACTGGGAAATGACTTTTTTCATCTCTGCAATTTATGCAATGAACATCTGCTATCATAACATATCCATCAAGACTCTGTATCAAGACTCGTATCAATCTTTACCAGCTACACGCTACATTATCGGAACAGTGCACATCAGTCCAGCTGGCCAACCATCGTATTTTTCACTAAAAATACTATTATTCTTGAGTTAAAATATGGCCTTCAGCTCCATAGGACCTGATCATAAAACTGTTACCTCCAAATGAAAATATGGCCCAATAGTGCTGGGAGATTTAAAATATGCTATTCCCAGAGGACAGGGATAAAGAACTTCACAGATAATGGAACAGGCACTATTTGAAAGTTAAAAGATCACATGAAAACTGATACACATGAAGATTAAAAGAGTAGGAGTATTTCCAATATGTACAATCCTTCAAATTATATCCTTAAGTTGAAGGTTCAAAAATCATATTCTATGACTGTAACAAAGATTTGAAAAATGAATCATGAAACTGAACTATCTTCCAGCACCAGTAACCATTCACATTAACATTTCCGTCAAGCATCCTATCTTTATGAGTGATTTACACTCTTCTCTCCCAGACAGGCCTGACTACAAACAAACAAACAAAAACAAACTCCGTGGTTTTAGTCTGCATACGAACTATACTGACCAAGAGACCGCTTCTTGTTGGCGAAGTTAGTGCCAGTCTCATGTGGATAATTAAGGAGCTATTTCAAGAAAATAGTGGCTCTGGTCTAGAGAACCGAAATTAAGAGCAGTGGGGATTTCTTGTGCTGACCACGCAACACCCACTATCTGCTAAAGTTGGCAGTCCTGACTACACATGCTATGATTACAAATTATCTAGCAGTAAGCCATGAAGTAAGAACAGCATACAAATATTAATGATGGGTTCAATGAAAGTTCTGCCTCAGCTTAGCAGTTTATGGAAATAAGTGTTTCAATGATGTACTAACCAGATCAAACGGTGTTTAAAACATGTCTGTGAACAAGTAAAATATATTACAAGACTACTTAATGTATTTTCAATATTTGTAAAGTATACTCTTCTTTCTCATCGGTTCAATTTACCACAGCAAACATAAAACTCCACTGATAACTTATACCTAATATTCTATGTACAACATCCATCCTGTGTGGGTGCATTCATGACAAAAAAAATCATTGGATAAGAAAATGTATTTACAGAAACGTATGTCTAGAAGCCGAGACTCACTATTCACTGGATACAAACATAAATGCAAAAAATAATTTTATGTTATTATGAAAATAATAAAATGTTTAACATCTTACCACAGGCTCTCAAAAAGCACCTAGATCTACTGACTTGACACAATTCAGGAAAATACTGTGAAAGATTCTTAGGATAAAATATCGTGGGACTTACCATTTTGGGAGGTGGTACATCTGCTGTTATGTTTACCATGTTAACGTCTTTTCCAGTCTGTGCAAGAGACACCAGTTTCAAGGCCACAAAGAAACCACCCTTATTCAGGTAACCTTTTCCTGCTGGGTCTGACAGATCCCACACTTTACTCAATATGACATCTGAAAGACCAGACTTCTTCAGAAATCTAGCAGCATCTAAAGCTCCAACACTGCCCTGGTTACTTGGGTCCACCTGTTAATGAGTATGAAAATCAAGTAAACCCTATACATTTCTTACAAACTTCCAACATTAACAGCACAGATCTGTGTATTAAAGTTAATTACATTTACAAGAGGAAAACAATTACAGCTGTACTGGTGCTACTGCTAATAACTCTAAAATTACTGTGTCAAACTGTAACCACTTTATAAATCTTGCCAACAAGCACAGACCTGTATTTTCAAGCACTGTAAATTCTACAACCATAACAGTGGATACTTAGGTAAACTAAATACCTACACCATTATAGGTCAGACACATAGCTAGTTAAAACATCTGATGTATGTTCTTACATTTTTCCAAACAAAAGTGTGCAATTAGTTCCTGAGAAAATGCCAACATATCATGGACAAAATTACTGGTGTTTAGTCATATAAATGAGCAGAAATATTTCTCAGTGCATTCTTGACCTTGGCATTAGAGGCAAAATGTCAGTCCAACCTCTTTACCCTAATGGAGCAAGCCTCATTAACCACTGGACATAACAGACCCAAAAATTATTCTAGATATTGTGAAAAGAGAAACATTCCACAAGTGTCCCGCCAAGAACCAAACCACAGTAGCACAGTCTACACTTACCCTAATTGCAGGTTTGTAAACCAAAATTACATGCTTAACACATATTATACTATTACATTAAATTATTAATTGCAATACTTTTGTACTGGTGACCAAATTTTCAAGCCACAAGAAGTTGCACCCCTAAGGGATATAACTCTCTCAACAGTAATATTTAAAGATATAATGACGGAAAACACTATATTTCCTAGTTATGCATTGGACTTCCTAAAGAAAACTGTAATTTAACTATATGGTATTTAAACCCATTCAAATTTCATATGCACTTTCTCATGTACAAGACCTTTTTCCAAGCTCTGGTCATGCACACAGCTTTTTAATCTGGTGACTGAACATGACTGCTCTGCAGGAACACAACTGACTTAGGTTCAGATAATCTCTAGACCAATCTGCAGATCAGTCATCATACTGTCATGCTTTCCCGGTGCGATTAGTGAATGGATTTACTTGCCACTTATAAAACTACAAGCACTTACAATTCTATCACTGATCTACATACTTTACAAATCACTAGAGCACATGTTACATCTTTTCGGTCTTTCACTAGTCATTTCCTGGTAATGGATCTTAACCATGGAGATTCTTCAGCTTCTGTGGTCACGCCACTGCACACTGGCTAACACTCCACAACTGAGGTCCTTGCTCCAACTGTCCTGATAACATCTCGGCATGGCACACACAGAAAACACCATTCTTCTATCTTGTGTTTGTATCTGTTGCCACGGGAACATACTTATTGAGCTGATGCATAGAAATGGCTGCGGCGTGGACCACAGAAACAGTTTTCATCCAGTCACAGGCCAGCAATAGGTGTTGTTGGGCATAACTGTGAATGTTGTGTAGATGGCCCACTAAATTTGCTGCATGACTGATTGTGGGTCGTTCCTTGACACGGGGTGCCCTAAACAGCAGGTCGCTGGGCAGTCGGAGCTCTCTCCTGAACACTAGGCTAGCTGGGGTAAAGCCCGTAGTGTTGGGAGTCAATGCCTTGTAAGCCAGGAGGAAGATGAATAACTGGATGTCCCAGTCCCTCTGGTGGGATGCAACAACTTTTCATAGGTGCTCCTCAACTGTTTTGATGTAGCAATCCATCATACTGTATAACTGCAGGTGCAGGGGTATGCTGAGAGTCTTGCTCACTATGTAGCTCCTGTAGGACACTGAAGCAGCTAGTAACCAGTGCTTCTGCCACTGTCAAAATATCTTGATTGGGAATGGCACGGCTTCTGGCCACTTCATAAAATAATCCATAGTGATGAGGAGGTACTGGTTTCCTTATTCACTCCATGGGAAAGGCCCTGCCACATTGATGGCTATCCCTTTCAATGGGGCCCTGAAATTGTACTAATGCATGTGTCACAATCTCAACATCGCTTTTTTGTCTGGAGCCAGAAGGACCCTTGTCAGACCTTACTGAGGGTCTTACTAACACCCAAGTGACCTGCTGATGGTCCAGCATGTAATATGATCAGCACATTGTTCACTCTGATCTGAAGGAGAACTATCTGCGCTATTTCAGATCATCTGTCACTGGATTCCAGTGGTGCTCTAGGATGTCATTCGTCGGCAAGAGATTTCCACTGGGCCCAGAAGCTTTCTTAAGTGGGGCTGCGGTTAGCGATTTTTTCAATTCTGGGCCCTGTCCAGCCTCTACTTGCTCCAAAATGGGCCCTATGCCCTAGTAGTTCAGGTATTCTGTTCTCAGAGAAGCTGTCCCCCAGCCAGCTGTGGCTACAGCCGCAACAGCATGTATCTGCTTGACATTTACCTGCGCTTCAGTTCTGTCACATTGGGTACAATCCTCTTGGCATGGTTGTTGCAAAAGGGCATTGACATTGTTTTTTTAGCTCTGAGGGTGTTTGGTAATGAAGCTGTACTCTTCCAGATGCTGAATCAAGTGTGCTGTTCATCCTTCTAGGTTCTTAAAATTCATGAGCTAGGTTAATGCTGAGTGGTATAGCCCCGACCTTGCTCTAAGCAACTTCCATTTGTTCGGCCCTGTTAAACATCATCTTTCAGCTGAACATTTTCCCGATGATGAAGCTGTAGAAAGGGAAGTCCGAGAGCAGCCCAAAGAAGTTTATGCTGCTGGTTTTCAGGGGCTTGTGAAACGATGGGACGAGTGCCTCAATGTACAGGGAGATTATGTTGAGAAATAAAAGCATTTTTCAAATCAGTACTCTTATTTGTTTAAGTTCTATATCCATTTATAACTTACTTATTGACTTACCCTCATAATTACTTGATACATTATTTCTCTTTAAAGGGTTAAGTAAGAATAAATATTCAAAACTATTCTAATGTTCAGCATCAACTTCTTTAACTTATCAGCAAAACTGTTATATGTAAATTACAAATGCAAATATACTAAGTTACAGTTCATTAAAGCAGTAAATGAAGGACATAGCACATAATTCCATTAAATAACCTAAGATCATAGGTACTTATTCCAAGACTCTTGGACCAAAGTACATAAAACACCAAAACAAAATGATGGCAAGTCTGTTTCATGTTTAAAACTATCCATTCTGTCTACAATCTTTGCCACCTAAGGAATCTCAACAGTCGATACTGTACCTGGTGATAATAAGCTTCATATATGCCACTATGACTACCAGCCACCTAAAATTATAAGAAAATGTCTATTATACACCTAAAAAGACAGTAAAAAAATATGATGTAAAGATATATAATTAAATTTGTTAGTAATTCAGTTTGGTTTAAAGACATGGCTCCAAGCCAGAACGTTAATTATGAAGCAACGGTATCAATGTGCATAGATATAAATGTTGCATCGCTCTTCAGTGTTACACAGAAAGTGTTTCAGCATTTTCAATGATATACATGGGAAAATTCATGGCACCCTTCAGTTGTCAGCATTTGTCATTTTTGAGAACACAAGTTTGAGATGAGCTTCATGCACATATAAAACCTTCTCCATATGCATTCACTTCATGAAAGGAACATATAAATTATGAAGCTGCAAATTGTTGCAGTATTCTTTAATGCTATATACATCACTGACTGTATAAAGTACACAGTCACATGGGATCAGTGCATATTGCGCAGTCTCATGGGGATAAGTGTTTTGTTTTCCCAGCACTCCTCATAATTCTTTGGCCATCATCAATAAATCTGCTTAGTCTCAACATAGCTAAGTAACCTCCAAGATTATTTTTCTGCAAATCCTGTACAAAATTACTAAAACTTTTAAACTAACTCTATGGAGTACAGACCTTATTGAGAAGCTGATAGTTGCTTGGCTAGTCAAAATATTCTCAATCTTTCATGGAACCTTCAGGTGCATTAGCGTATTTACCAGATCCTGCAACATGTCCCTATCCTGAGTCAGATAAATGCAGTCCACACCCTTGTATCTTTTAAGATCCAATTCAATATTAGCTTCCTGTCTTTGCCTAGGTCTCCAAATTTTTCACAACTAAAAGCCAAACTCTAGCAGACACATCCGCACTACTTCCGTACACATGAAGGATTTGAGGTTCTCACAGCTGTGGTTATGAAGGGTCTTCTGGAATATAATGCAATATAGTCTGTTGAAAGTCAACCAAGCTTACTACCAGCTTCATGCTGTTTTCTTGCTTGGTTTAGTCTTCAACCCTGAAGATGGAGGACATATTTTTCTCCAAAACATCAGCTGGCTTTCAATGGACTACATGGTGTTACATCCAAGAAGACAGAACTCTCTGAATATCTGCATCTTTTTTTACATGACCACTGTCATATTATAATGGAGAAAACCCATAAAACTGATACATGCTTTCTGTAATTTAAAAAGGCAAGAAAAAAGTGGGGCAATTACATGAGTCAATATGGCATACACTGTACTACAGCCAGACTCACTGAGTTTCAGTAGCGACAATGGCACTGCAAAGTGGCAGCCAGCTGCTATGTGAGAAAGCTTTCAAGATCATCTGTGTATGGTACCATGACAGTGGACAATCTGCTGAAAAACTGAACTCCCTTATAATCTATGGCATACTCACTTGCCACACATGAGAAAAGTTTTCATTTTATGTGGATCTGTTAAAGAAAACATGTCCCAGCTACCAGTGCTAAAATTGTTAAAGAAATTAAAGAATAACAGCAATAAAGTCAGCATAGCACTTTTTGCATGTGTGTGAAGTGACTGTATTAAAAAATGTAGTATAACTAGCCCTTAACGTCAATAAAATAAAATATTATATAGCTCTGGACACTATGTATATAGGAAAAATTTATATATTTTCAAACACTGTTTGTCATTAAGTTTCTTAAGATGATGACCAACAGACCCCAATATGGGCATCATTAATAGCACAACACGCTTGAAGATGATATTCAGTTTCTTGCCAGGTATTGGAGAGTATTTTGGTGATTACACATTTTGCAACTCTTAAGAACTCTTCCACATAGCTCATTCCCATTTTCCACCTTTTCTTTTACAAACCCCTAAAATAAAAAAATCTGAGAGTAAGATATGGAAACTCCCTGCCTAGAAAGATACAAACACAAGGAAAGGGGTGTGGTGGTGCACCACCTAACTGGAATACAGTTCCTGCACGAATGTGACCCAGAGCACTGCCCTCCATCACAGTCATGAACTTTTCACATCTCACAGTACATTCCTCAGAAATGACAGGGTCAATAATATTATTTTTCACTGCAGTCCTCCTTGCAAGTTGGCCCTTGATGAATCACATCAGTACTCAATAACTTCCACATCTTCCACTACCCAATACATGGTAACTGTGCCTGTTGACAGCTCCACACATGCAGAATGCTGCTTTATCAGCAAAGCAAATTCTGTTGAAGTGGTCTCATCCTCTTCAATGCAGAAAAACTTTTCTCAGTATAACTGTTTTCTCAAATCCTGATCTCTGTGTGCTATTTCCTGCACCAACTGAAGCCTGCTTAATTCTTAACTTTTTCAATAAACAAACATGCAAAGGCTCCCTTGAAATGTTAAGCACACACATTCAACATTATAGTGGGACACTGTGCAGCAAGCAACCCCATTTTTCCACAAGACAGTCCCTTTCAGATGCTTATCTCATTGCATCATACATCTGAAAAACTGGTGCTGCTTGGTTTGGTTACACTTGATTAAACTTAAGCTGAACACAGTGTATGACTTAAACTCTGCCAACCACAAAATGCAGTCCAATTTGACTACATCCTCTCTTCAATTGAAGAAAAACAGGGCAGAACACAGCTGCTCCACACATGAATGCATACACATATGTGACTTTACTATGCAGAAAAACAACCAGGAGTTACTACACTGCATTAAAACATTTGCTACTTAATGTCTGCTTTCATTTTATACAAAACTTTAATTTATTTATATTCTGGGCTCGACACATGACTATACAGCATGATCACATTAAATTTTTCTTGCACTGCTATAAAACTGTCAACCTGCTTTGTGTCCATCCTGTACTTATATGAAAGTAAAAAATGGGGGCATTAAATTTAACAAACAGTACAATTCAGGCAAAAATTATTATTCTTACTACAGGAAACCCTTCAAACGCTTTCCGTAAATCCAACGGTGCCAAAATTTCGCCAATAACGTAACAGTACTTAAAAAACCAATACTGAATTAAATTGATAACTAGTAAAGGGTGTGACTGACTGGTCGGCTTGCTCCTCCTTGATAAAATTAACTTTAAAACAGAAATAATCTATTCTTAAACATCCTGTAATTGTTACACCCCTATATTCAGGGTATGCAGCATTCATTACATTGTATTATCACTATCATGCAGCATTTCTCACCACCCACTGTCACATGAGCAGAGTTCATCTACCTTATTTATAGTGTTTAAATATCCTTCAGAATTCTATACTAACAATTCTTTACTAGCCTATTTATTGATATGAAGTTACACCCGTGATTTTATAATATCCTCCCACAATCTTATTAACACTACATTCATCAGTAAGTGAATATGCACTCCGCCAATACCTGAGTCGGAGACGGCAAAGCAGCCATCTTCTTGGATATTCTTGAAAATATTTTATTGGCTGGTCTATGATATCTTGACCAATGAGATATACAATCAATACATAATTTTCGTAGTGCCCCTGAAATGCCGTTCACTTTTGAATCTCAATTTCTAGACGGGTGTTCAACCGTCGAATATAATTTTGCCCTTTCCACACAATCCATTGACAGTTAAAAAATGTCGTTAACTCCTAAAGCTCCAAAAGACTCATAATTCAATGTCATTGGCTGGAAGTTTTGGGGCAAATGTGCTACCATCTTTTATTGAACACAGTCTGACGTTATAGCTGTTACTGGTACCTTGACTCAATCGGTAATAAGTTCAGTACTTATTGCCGACCACGCTGATTAACTGTGTGAACTAAGTAAAAATTTCTTTTCACTTGTGCCTACAAAATAGCGGAAATTCTTCAGCAATATTAGGAGTTCCTTTAAAAATTACATAAAATTAATTTCATCAATATCAAAACAATGCCATAAAGTAAAATTTACTTCTTCTGGATAAACAACATCATAGAAACGCTTTAATGTTCGTAAATGGTAAGGTCAGGGGAGCTATATAATTGTTTCCTTCATGAATATTTGAATTCAATCTCATTAATTTTTTATCACTTGCAATTAATCTTACATGGCACACTTCTACTCGCTTCAATGAATGATACAACATATTGTCACGTGTATGAGTGACTATAGACGGGGTTTGGATGGGTGAATGGATTGACTACTTATACACGCGGCTCAGAACTACAAGCAAATACAGAACCACCGCTAATATCCACAATTCACAAATTACCACAGAGCCCTCTAAACCTTTTTCAGCCTGCTGTCTTCAGCAGCCATTCCCTGGCAACGGCATCTTACAGTGGAGATTCTTCAGCTTCACACCATCAAGTACTCTCTTCACAGCCTCCCGTGCAGAACTCAATCTCAACTAACTTACTCTTTATTCATAACATCTCGGCACAGACCAGTAGAAAACGCCGTTATTCTATTGTTGCATCCAACTGTTGTATAATTAACAACCTGCTGCCTAGCAATGGGAATGTGTTTACCGAGCCGTTACCCAGAAACGAACGCGGTTTACAGAGTCGCCGCTTAACGATCGGTCTATATGCTACAGTACACAAAAGTTTTAAAATATATCATATTCACCTACATATTTATTATGGGGACTTTACACAACAGACAATCTTTTAACCAATAGAAAACACCAGATTTAAATTGGATCGCTTTACCTTTTTTATGTTTATATAGTCATATATTTAATTACTAAATACTTTAAAGTAAAAGATTCAGTAAAAAAAATAAAGGTATCCATGTAACAGGCCATGGAGGCCCATAGCGTTGTGAGATGTTGAAGTTCCCACATTTACTAGACAATCAGCTCATAGATGGCTGTAAGGTTGTCAGCCTTATGTACCAGCCAGCCTTTACCCCCCAAGATTATTCCTGGCACTCATTTCTGTTAGAGGGTGAGATGACCCCAGGGCTATAGCACAGCTGGAAGGATTAGGCAAATTGAAAAAATCCACCTCATCGGGACTTGATCCCATGACCTTCCGGCTTGTAGTACAGTGCCTCAACCAACAACGCTACCACGTGCACCCATAAAAGATTCAGTAGTATAATAAATTAGATAATGCAAAACATTTTCCTAGGTGACAACTGTGGGATTTCTATTGCTTTAATCTTCCATGAACTGGCATCAGCTGAGCTTAATCTGATGATGATTAAATGAAATTGTACTGCATGATTAAACAGAAAATAAAACACACTACCTGTCTTCTGATTCAATTCAATTCAATTCAATTTATTTACATTCCGTAAAATCCAGATACAGGTAGACACCATAGGATATGGAACAAGTCAAATACAGTGATTCTGCACAATAACAATCTAATCAAAAAATTAATAAGAATACAAATTACATAAATATAAGTTAAATGTCCTTCAATTTGAGACTGTTAGCAGGAA